ATCCGGAAGAGCCTTGGAATACAGCCTTTGCTTCTCCAGATTGAGAAGTCACAGCTGCGATAGCTTGGGCGTGTGTTGCGAATGCCTCCAGAAAGGAAGGCTAAGCAGGTGTTTCTTGCGAATCTGACCGGCAGAAGGCCCAGGGGACTTCCAAGATTAACTTGCTGGAAATATAAGGAAGGAGTCTGTTCTAGGCTCCGGTTGTCTTTTGCCGAAGCTCAGACTCTGGCGCAGGATCAAGAACGTTGAAAGCTGTCTGACGTGTCTCCCTCCGCCACCCGAAAGGAGAAGAGGCGATGGAAGATGAAATCTGTAAGCGTTGGAATATAGATGTTCCTTATATTTTGATATTGTGGTCGGTCGTTTGTAGAGCCTTTTTTTATGAAGTTAATGTGGTTGGGCACTGATCTCCATTTCTGCGGTAGCCACGAGTTCCCCCTTTGAAACACGCAGAATTTACAGCAACACGTCCGCGTTTACATTTTGTTAATATCTCAATGAAGACCGAGTTTTTTCTCTGGTCGTTCATCCCGTCCTCAGCATGAATTCTCAGGAACCTCCCGCCTTTATGCTGTTCTACTTGATTATGTTTCCTTAAAAATGATATAGCCATGTTCCCTTGCTTCGTGTTGTTAGAGATTTGTAATGTTCTTCGTCTTGTTTCTTGTTAATTTATTATCCAGTGATATCACGCAATGCCGCTTAATTCTTTCCATCTTTCTGTCATATATTCTGTCGTTTTCCTATGTGATCTATGATAAGTTCTTTTAATTTTTTCGTTTGCGAAAATGGCATTAATCGATTATGCCATTCAAGCAGTAAAATCTCGACCCTACTCTGTGGGACAAACAGTGTGTGTAGTCTTCTGTTTTCTCCAACAGAGTAGTACTCATTAACCTCAGAAGAACGAAAGGCGAGCCACGCAAACGGGATTCAAGCTCATCATCTCTCGCTGTCGAATCCAAAGCCTTACTAACTGAGGAGCAACTTCGGTCTAAAATGCGAACTGTTGAATCATCCGCTTAAAGATTGGCTCTGGAACTTAGCTGCGGCATTGCGAAGTGAGTGTACATAGGCGGTTTTTTGTAGCATCCATATTTCATTTCCAAATTTGATCTACCTGGCCGTTGAACGAACGTTTTGAGTTAGTTTTTTCTGAAAATACGGCAGGAACCACGAACTACGTAATTTTGTATCGGTTGACGTTGAATTAGTTTAAATTCGCATTTAGGCGTTGAATCGGCGAGAAGATTCAGAAGATGAGCACAAAAGCAATTCAGAAGCTGCTTCGCGGGGTGCTGACCTATCGAAGCAAGGAGAAGGCGGCACTGCTGCAGAAGCTGAAAGAAATTCAGAAAAATCCAAACGTGAGTATTTATCTCGTTAGCGGTTTTGCATCTCGCTTTTTATACTCACCCATTGGGTTGGTATTCTGAAAGTCCATCCTTTCTCTCATCATCTGACGCTGCTTTTTTTAGTAACCTTGGTTTCTGCTCTCAGAGTAGACGGCACGAGGTCCACCCCTTTAGCAATTCCATCCCGCCGGATCGACCACGAAGTTCGTAAATCATACTGATGAGATACGATATGAGTGGAAGTACTCGCTAATAATGTGATATAAAATAGTGTTTCGCATAATACGACGGTCGTTTTGATGATGGGTGGATTTTTGACTGTTTACTAGCACGCTCCATCGTATCTGTTCAGGACACTGCACTGTAATGATCCCCACTCAGCTTCATGCTCCGTTGTTTTGTCCGGTTGTGGAGATTGTAGCTGCGTGAAGGTTTTTCCACCGTTCCTATCCTCCGCCAATCCGTCGAACTTCCAGACCTCAGCTCTGAGGTGGAATAACACCAGATGTCCGATATTCTGTATCCATCGAGCCCTGCGTCTGCTCGCTAGCCGTTTACACGTAGCTACGCGAAACGAGTCCATCTTCCCGTCTGTAAAACGACATTCTCGCCACTCTGTATGTAGTGTTGTAGTAATTACACATGTCTTAATGGCTTTATGCTGGTCATTCCATTTATTCGAGGAAACTAGTTGGTGTATGCTCTATGATTTTAACTCTACCATAAAGATGACCAACGAACAGCTTGTCATTGGCCTAACGGAGTTTCGTTCTTTCCACTCTCCAAACATCTTCTCATTATTGATATATTAGGCGTTACTGGTCAAATAAGTGCTGAAGCAGCACTAATATGATTGTGAAGTGCCGTTCCTAACGGCGAAACAGAATAAGTCTTGATTACTCTGCTGTTTATGCTCTGCTAGTCTTAGATGATGATGACCAGGCAACAATGTTGAAGAAATGATTTACGGTAAGCAGAATTCCTAGTTAAAAAAACACTGTTGAGTTAAGTGGAAACGTTTACTTGAGGTAACAGCGTCAGTAACGTAAATGGGCTGTGGGCATGTGGTGACAGCTTTCGCGATAAAATACAGCTGAAGGAGTGGATTTTTTGTCTTGTGATCAGAAGGTCTATTAGAAATTGATCTCATGCATGTTACAGCGTATTTCTACGTTTTCTTCACTTTATGCCTATCGATGACGTCATTATTGTACAGAAGCTTTAATTTTTGCATTTACTTACTTCAGTAAACGCTGCTTGCTCAAACCTTTCAGAATTTTTCACATTTGAATAGCGATCTTCTGAAGCAAGGAATAAAATTTTGTAGCAAGTGTAGCTAACATCTCTTTGTTTGATTGTCTTTTTTCGTCTAAAACCTGATTCAGATTCTCGCTTTTTAATGTTAAAATCATATTTACCCAGTCGGTAGAGTATCGAACTCATAATCAAGAGATCTTAGGCTTAAGGCCCACTCGCCTGTCTCATGTCTGAGGTAGATAAATATGACTGGAATGTTTGTTACCGTCTATTTTGGTTCCGTTCTTTTGATGAAGTTAATGGCGCGGTGCTGATCTCTAATTCTATGCCATCAACCAGGAATGGCTTTTTTCAGAGGCAGAGTCTACAGCCATATGGTAAGTGTAGCCTGTAGTGTCTTTTATCCTTCCCACGAAGTAGTATTCATTTATCAACTTCGCAAAGAAAAAGGGCGAGCGACTCCAATCAGAACTTGAATTCGAGACTATCGGTTCTGAGTTCGGCACCCTACGGACTGGGCTACCCTGGTCAATGGCAATGTATGGTAAATTTTTTGCTCAAGAAAATTTGTGAATAAGACAGATTGTCCTCGAGCGAAATCGAACCTGATACCTCTGGAGTTCGAAGGATACTTCTTATATACTGTGCCAACACTCCACTAAACAGATAGATAAGTGTCACTTTGTGGGAAAGGAATAGAAAGCTGCACAGTATAGTAGTCGACAAATTGTAGATGCAGCCTTTTAGAACTGTGTACTGATGCTGTTAGAGTGAGGTCTCCAGTCAACGCCAAATAGACGGTGATTATTACGGTGCTCGTTGCGACTGCCAGTTTGAGGATGTTATGAGATGGTATAACGATGGACGAGGTTGACCATTTCAAGTACTTCGGAACTGTGCTAGACATCGATGGCAATAATGAATCTGAAGTGAATCGGCATGGGCGAATTTTGGCACTCTGCATGACATATAGAAGGATCGCCCTATGACAGCGTTTACGACAGTCACTACGCTCAAGGCAGCAAAATATGCAGTGCTCGTGTATAGTTGTTGAAATGTCTGCAGTCCTGAAACGTCATGAATCTCATCTCAGCAGATTTTAACAACGCTGTCTGTGTAATAGCCACAGCTTGCGATGGTACCATCGAGACAGGAACGAGCAAATGCTGATCACCACTGATCTGAGTAAACCATCAGATGAACTCAGACAGCAACACTTGGCTTGGTTTCATAAAACGGCTTGAAAACAG